TGAGTCTCGGAAATGAGGCCGCATTGAAAACGCGCCATTGAACAAAAGTCCGGATAGCTAGGCAAGCCACGAAGAATAGATGGATGAAAAAATATTCTTCCGATAGAGACATTATTCCGGCATTATGAAAATGAGAGGATATATATGCTGCCCCCAGCCCGACGTTATACCTGAACGATTTTGTACGAATTTCGTCACATTGTGTATAATTGAGTGATTTTTTTTTTTATTTATTATTCGAAATCGAATTTCTCTTTAAAGTTCGATTTTTGTTCAAATAAAGCTGAAATAATTCAAATTGCACGAAAAACTAATTGCATGGTTTACATGGGTTGAAACTGTATCTCGCCAAATTTAACTTCAATTTTCAATATTAAACAAATTCGTTGCTGTGAGGTCTACAATAAAACTACCTATTTAAGATACACATTCCTTTTATGTGTTTGCATGCATGTGTGCGCATATGTCAACAGCATTCCAATAATATGCAGCAAATAAAATAAACTAGTAGCAGCAACCGTGTGCTTTTGTTTTGTGACGTGAAACGCAACATCCAGATCAATTCCGAAGAATACATACATCGATAACCATTATCGTAAATAAATATCCAATAAATCTGTTCACACACACACACACACACACACACACACACACACACACACAACGAAACATAGATGTATAGAATCGAGCAAGTAGAATCGTGCAGTGACTGCTGTAGCTCGCGTTGATCGTTACGAAAAGTATGAAAAACACCGTACGGACAAAGACAATCGATTGTGTTTCGATCATCGTTATTGCGCGTCGTATCGATGTATGTAACTGCTATAGTTCGGTTTTCGTCATTCTACTTTATTTGCGTCACATGCAACGGCTTCGCGCTCGTTTTGCGACCTACATTGTGGATGATCTCGCAATAATCGTCTGTGTTGCGAGGTAAAATCGCAAGTGATAATCCTGCTAAATATCCGCGCGTGTGGGTATTTATTTCTGTTTTTATCGACCGTACGAAAACGAAGCGTTTTATTTGTTATTTTACTATATTTTAGAACCTTTTATTTCCGACGTTCCTGTTAAAGAAACCTCATATTCCGCTACTCTTTTGAACAAAACAGAGGCGATATTATTTTAATTTCTCATTTTTGCGCAAAAAAAAAAGCATGGTGAATTCTGCTTTCGTTATTCGCATGTTATTGCGATCCATCGAACGGTTGCTCGCGATGTACGAGAACCGCCAGATTATACGTTAAATACATCTCGAACGTTATAGCGTAAAATGAACGTTTTCCATCAGCACTTTTCCCCTTCTCTCTCAGTTCGGATCTACACGTTTCAAATATGATATAAATATCACATTGTATATATATATATATATATAGGGTATTTCAACTTGTACAACATATGAAAAACTCGAAATTCCGTAACTTACGGTAAAAGTTCATAATGTAACGAAATATCAGCGAGATTAAAATAAATTTTGAAGGATTTACGAACTCATTGTCAGTATAGAATAAGTTTACAATGGATATTATTAATTTCTCTTCTCTTTTTTTCAATAATATAGCAAAAATATCTTGCATATATCTCGTATCAGACTGTGAATTATAAACAATAATGGAAAATATGGAAATTGAGGTTCAAGATTTTTATATAATGAATATATTTTTCAAATATTAGTAAAATTTCATTTTAGTAGGAATTAACAAGGTTTTCAAGATATCTCGACGAAATAAAAAGAAGGACGAATCAGATGCTAGATTATAATTCTATATTAAACTGCTACTATCCAAGCACGGACATCTCGTATTTATCGTGCCTGTCATAAATATAAATTAATCTACCTTTATCTTTAGCTCCTTACAGTCTCTGAGACAATCCTTCGTGATGGATCACGATATTCTTCAGTCTGACGCAAGATGCAGATCTTCGGTTAATCCCTCGTCTTCCCCTTCACCCGCCTCATCTTCTACAAAGCGTAGATAAATCCATCTTACACCCGCACATTATTGCAATCTTCAGAACAATCCCCTTCGCCAGATCCGCCGTAATCCACTAAGTATATCTTTCGCAGGCAGGTCAAATTGAGTTTACTGTGCGAAATATAAGGCGGCCAGCCGAATGGATCTAACCGTATCTCACAAGCGTCTTTCGAGTGCCTTTGTGGCGGTGCCTACTAACTCGTCGTCGACGTAAATTCGACGGCTACAAAAGATCAAAGCGGCCCTGCTGCGCCCAGGAGTTCACCCTGGCGAGCACGCGCGCGCCGCGACGCGGCGTTGCGCTCAATCGAGTGCACAGTGCTCTCCTCCAGCTCCAGCTGTGGTTCCGATGTTTGTGCACACCCTCCATGCTCAGCAGAGCCGAGACTTGCATTATTCATGCTTGGCGCACTCTTCTCTCTCTCTCTCTCTCTCTCTCTCTCGCTTCTATGCGCGCGTTAGCCTCTCTGTAGCTCTTCCTTTCTCCTGCTTCAGCTCCCGTCGTCGAGCCGCAACATCCGGTTTTGCCAACTACACCAAAGTGCCAACTTTCTCATTAAGCCTCTCTCTCGGCCCGTGGTCCCAGGAGATTCCCGCGGTCGACCATCATGATCCTGCCCGTTTCGTCCAGCGATGCTGGAGATGCCCATTATCTGGCATGCAGCGGCCGGCCTGCCACCGCCGCGGCGCCGCAGCTTCGGTAAACGACGTCTGTTTTCTGAATTAGTTGGGACGCACTTAACCCCGATTGCGTTAGTTGCTCCAAAGTCTGTTTCCACGATCAAGGGTCAGTTCGCTAGGGAGATCGCTTTCTCTGATTGTACCCGGATTTTCAATTAGAGATACGATGCTCCTCGAGAATGAGCCTCAGTGAGAACGATGGTCGTTAATTAAATTTTAAGGAACACGAAAATAGCTTCGTCGGTCAATAATGAATTATCCAATTATCAAAAAGCGAACTTGATATTCTAATATACTATTTTATTATGTCCAGAGTGTTTATGATGTCTAGAGAAAGTGTCACATGAACTTCTTTTTAGATTTATACGTGGCACAAATGCAATCGCACATGTTTTATGTACGCGATTCCGCGCTATCCGAGAAACGTCGGGAGTTTTATGCATCGTTGAGTATTGCAATACTAATTTAAAGTTTCCAAGTATGTCCAAGGCAGATTCCACTTTCACATCCCTGTATCGAGGATAACGTAACTTTTCTTTAACGATGCATCGAAACTCGGAACACAGCAAAAAGGTAGGAATATGTCTCAAGGACGGCCAAACCTGGAAACTCCGCCAAGATAGCATAAGCGGCATTCGAGCGGAACGATCGGCTCGCCATCAGCAGGTAGCATCGAATCCGCTTCTTACGAGCGATAGTAAATATTTGCAGACCAATCGAAGATATAGCGAGCTAAATCCGTCAGCGATAATATTATCCTCGTCGTTTCGAAACAGGATTTATTGTAAAAGCTTCTAGGGACCGTAATACTTCTTTAGTGCGCCGATCGTCTCGAAAATACCTTACTTTAATGTCTGTATTTACTCTTTTCCACACGTGCTCCTGTACCACACGGTAATGGAAAGCATATATTAAAAGTAATATCAATATCATTCGTTTCAAACAAAAACGTTTAAATCTTACAAGCATTTATGGTTCGTTTATGAATCGTAAATGCTAATCATTTTAATAATCATATTTTTATCTCCAATATTCAAAATTATATTTTTTCAAATAAGAGAATGATTTTGAAAAGCACATTACTCTAAAAACATAATGCACATATATATAATATTTAATATGAATTATAAAAATTATGTCTTTTCCAAAGTAAATAACTGAACGTGTTTGAACGCATACAATTAAAGTGCATATCCAATATCTGGATTCCGAATAAATATTAGATGACCAGACAGACTATACGTATATAATAAATATTAGGTATAGGTATTATTTGTAAAAAAAAAAGTAGAAGAAATGTTCGAATATATGGATCACGTGTGACATGCACATACGGATCTTGCGTAAATATTAAATTGATTGCAGACGATTTGTGGCAAATATAATATTAATTTCGCATAAACCGTATAAGAATTATCACTGGCTCATTCACCGAACGCTACATACTTTATAGCGAGAATACATTTCTATTCACGATTGCGAGTCGTGCCGTAAAATAACGTACAATGTGATACCTCATACTCCTGCTGGTCGCTCCCGCTCGGTTCTAGAAATCAAATTTTCCCATCCAATTCCATTTTGTTCGCTCGGCTACATCGATTAAAGCGCGCTGCCATCGTTCTGACTGGTATGGCTGACAATATCGACCGCAGCAATCGAGGAAATAATGTTTCTAACAATGCATTAACAACTTTGGACAAGCGCAAAAGTGATTCCTAATTGTTGTGTACAAACAAGAGATATTATTGCTTTCGCGTATCCGGAACTGTTTTACTTTCCTACGATTTCAAACAATCGAATTCAACATGCGATGATAATTTTGGTGATAATTGAGTGAATGTTTTTATACATGCAGTTGACAATTTTGAGATAAAAAACTAAATAAAAAAAATTAATTAAGCCAGAAGAGTGCATCTATATTCGAGTTATATTGAAAATAACGCACACTGCTTTTAGAGGCTGCAAAAGTTAGTCGTTCGCATACCAATTACGCAACATATCATTTCGCAAGTGAACTCGCAGTAGCACCCATATACATCCTACATGCATCCATCAAGGTAGTTGGCGTAACAGTCAATTTGTTCCCCGCGATGGGAAATCCTGCCTAACCCGAATTTCCTGACATAGATTATCGATATCTCATAACAAGGATTGTGTGTTATATACCGATCACTCGGTATTTCATGCTAGTTCACCTCCGTCAAAGTTCCATTGTACGAATGTGATCGAAGAATCTCCTGAAAAAGAGAGAAACGAAGAGAGAGTTTATAATTGCTCCCCTCCTCCCCCCCCCCCCCCCCCCAATCGTTATCTTTGGCGGGTAGAGAAAACCAATGTGAACGGATGTACAAACCGCAAAGCCGTGGAATCGAGAAGGGAAGTAGCGAAGGAATGGGCATCGAGAGCAAAATAGAATTGGATGTAGAGAGGATATTCACGGATAACTGTGGTTCTCCATCAAAATCGATATTCAGTATTTTTCGTGTTCTATCTTCTGTTTTTAATCATTGTATCACTTTGTAAAATATATTTCCTTTGTTCCAGAGAGCAGTATCTTGTAGAAATAAAGTACTTTTATGGAACAATCGATAATAATCAATTATTAACTTTCAATACTTGGTGTTTAAATGATACTGCATAAAAATTAATCTATATTGATTAATCTATGAAATGTTAAATTAGTGAAGTCGCTTCGTTTAGCCGATCGAATTTTATTTAAATCAATACTGTGCCATTTTTCAAAATTCTCTCTCTCTCTCTCTCTCTCTCTCTCTCTGTTGATTATTTTTATTAGTTGTTCCTGGGGCTCAATAATCTATCGCAAGCGAAAGTTCGAGTTAAAAGTCCAAACAGAGTTACGCGAGTTTCTTATTTTATCAGGTATTACATTTTTGCCCCTCAATCTCCCTCGGCAATCTCTTATCCTGGATTACGATATTACATCATCAGACTCCTTCCTCTTGCACGGTGATCTTCACGATATATTTTTGTGTAATATATATGTATACATAGTACAAGAGCGCACATACATAAAGCAGATAACTGAACGAGAGAGCGAAAACAGAGAAAATTTTTACTCTTTGATATTTCCAATAGAGAAAGAGAAGACCGAACGAATCAGTCGTCTCAGTCATACCTTGTGTTGATCGAACCTGTATATGACATTCGAAACTTTATCGTTGCCCACAAGGATCTTTTCCCCAAGAGTGTCAAGCCAAAAGGAGTCCTTTTCAGTTGCCGTCGGCAACGACTAAAGCGTTGAAGGACTCTATGGCAAGGTACACTTCGAAGAATCTTTCGACGATTCTGATAAATTGCACGAATCTGTTACCATCGATGAAATGACGAAGTGCCGTCCCCTTGGTTATGCAAGTTCTCGTGTGGATCTTTACGCTTGCGCGATCGATCCGCTCGCAAGCTTGAAACGGGGAATTCTTTTTGTTTTAGAGGAAACGGTTCCTCTAAATTTTTCAGCGGAAAAACACCTGAGAGAAATCTACGGTGAACGAATTTTTCCAGAAAAGATATGCACAACGCATCCCCCAACGAATTTGATTACAAAAGCTCGCTCCAACCTGTAAATGGAATTTTTTACTTGCTGCACTTTTGCAATTTCTTAGGCGTTGCTAGCAAACGCTTTTCGTATTTATTGAGAATTTGAATTGAGCACATATGAAATGAGTTTGCTTGGAACAAGAATTGGTAACAATATTTTGCTGTATTATATAATAGCGTAATCCCATCATATCACTTTCCGTTTTTAAAACCAGTTTTTAAATATTTGGACTAACAGTCCAAACTTGTCATAACTTGTAAGTAGCGCGAGATGAAGAGAAGTGCCGTCAACTATAACCAACGTTTATTTGCAAAATCACGCGTACTCGCGTAATATCGTTGACGTTTTTCATTCATTGAAATAAAGAACGGACTGCTGCACGTCTAATCCAGAAAAGCTTGCTTATTTTTCTGTGCGAGTGAAAATTAAGCGTGCCTTTCCTGAAGTCTTTAACGAGAACGCCACGTAATGAAAACTGGAGAGAAATTTCTCGCGCGTAAACCAGTTTTGTGAAATGAGATATGCGCAATAATAATCAGCGACGCTCTTTGAAAAAGCCTCAGTAGTCCCTTGGTAAAGCGATTTTGCAACTAACACGCGCTCGCGCGCGCGAGAGCGATAAGGGAATTCCAGGCCTGGCCGCATTTCCGAAATACCTCTCTCGCGATTTCTTTACACTCGAAGAGCCGTTGCCTCTCGCGTCCTTTCCTCTTCTCTCACTTATTCTGTCTTTTCTCTCTTCTCCGAAATTCTTAAGTAACGAAACTCTCAGAAGAAACTTCCTGCCCGGGGATGAATACGTTGCCCAGGACGCAAAAAAGTAGGTGAAAATCCTTCGTTCGTTCCTTCTTCCCCACGCAGCCCCATGGTATAGCGCTGAATCGCTATCCCGGAAAGGAAAATGAAGGGGACGATCTAGCGCGTGTAGGAAACTACGTGTGTGCGACTAAGAAACGCAGGAAGCTGCAAAAGCATGCTCTTTTTTCCAGAACGGTCGGATAGTAGGTGGAGAAGATAGCGTGTCGTAGTTATTGAATCCTCCTCTTGCGCGTGTGTTGCCGCATAATGTAATCGAGCTACTCTACGCGGAAGGAAGGAGGGAAGCATTCGCCGTCTCTGATAAAGGAAGATTTCTTTGAAATCACGGAATCGATTTCCGTTAACCGTGCGCAGCACATATTAAATGCAGGCCGTCCCCTGCTTTGCGGAACATCGCGAGCATTTCGTTGAAATGAACGAACGCCTCGGTAATACAGTAACTTCTCAAACCGTACTTTCTTATATATTATATTAAGAAATGTAATATCCTTTGCGATTGTTTGAGAATTAAATAAAGAAATAAAATATGGAATTATGAAATTTGTAAAATATAGCTCGCCCCCATTTATTTGTCTTTCAAAATGCATCACTTATTTTAATTGCTACAGAAACTGTCGATTATATATATAATTATCATTGATACGATTAATTTAGTTCGCGTGATCATGAAAGCCCGACTGTGCAATTACAACCCCGTGCACGATAAAAGTTAAAGCGCATGGTAGAGGTAAAACATGCAAACTTGAACGAAGAGAGGCCCATCGTGTCCGTTAATGCGTGTCTCATTATGCAAATCCAGCGCGGACTCCGTGATGCGATTTTAAAATGCGCACGCGAAACTTTTTGATCACACTGACAACTTTCGTTTGGCGCTGCTTAGTTGGAGGGGGATATTTCACGCAAGCAAATCCGTGGATCAAGAGCCATGAGGGGATATCGAGCGAGGGTTCCCGTTTTACTCCGAACGAGCACTCGCGAAACTCTTCGCAACCGGGGCGTCGCGTCGTCGTCGTCGTCGTCGGACGGAAAGTTAGCGCGGAAAGAAACACGACTGTACGGCTCGCGGGAGCGGAACATCGCGTGGAACGCGAACACCGGCGATCCAGAAAATTGCGAAACTTTGATGCGCCATAAATTCACCCCAGGACCGAGCCAAACCTCGCCGACAACGGTCGACATTAACAACGTCGCTTGACGCGACTTCTTGACGCAACGTCTCGGACGCTGACTCCACTGGGTGTTGTGACTCGCGAATGCATTCGTTAGGAGTATACACATTTGCTCGCTGCACCGGAAATGGTATGTGCCACGTAGCACAATACCAGAAACGATATATACGGGAAATAACACGGAGAGAACGATTTTGCTGAAGTATTCAAAAATTTAGCTGGGAGATATGGATCTAAAAATAAAAAAAATTTTGTTAAACCCCATCCAAAGAGATATAGGACACTCAAATTGGTTGTTAGAATGTCACAATTATTTCGTCCTAAAAATTTGGATGGTCTGACAAAATCATTTTCAGATGTATGACAATCAAATGTATATCTAGCTAAATTTTTTTTATTTTCAGCGAAATCGCGTTCTCTCTCCGTGCATATTCTCTTTCTCTCTCTACCTCGTAAAGAGAGAATTCCGCCCGTAACAGGGTTGAATCAATCCGCGATGCATGTACTCGCGACTATGAATAAATATGATGTACGTAGCTTAGCCGTTAGCACGAATGTGCGGTGGCAGCGAATGCACGTGCGCGTTTCCATTGCACTTGTGATTTCGAACATTATAGTTATTATAGGTACGTGTATATATATGTGTGTACGCGCAGTTACATATTTCCACACTCCCGAGGAAGGACTTTCGAAGCAACAGCGAAACACGATACAATACGTTTGCGCGAATATCATACGTGTATTACGGAATCAGAATTTATTGCATACATAATGCAATTATACAGGTACATGCGTATTTAAAAATCTTTTTCTCGGCTCTATCGACATATCTCGGGTACAAAGATTGCACGTCTTACTTCCACGTGACCATTTTTCATATTAGATCCTGTGCGCGTCAGCGTCACGCCGGAGCACTGTTTAAGCATGCTACATAAGCGTTGCTACGAGTAATGCCGGTGATACGTGAGCGACGAGCGTGAAACGCTAAGCCGCACCTGAACTCGCTGCAATACATCTGGGATCTAGTCCACATTCAGCTGCAAGTTTATGTCAGGAACACGCGCCGTTTTCCAGGAATTAGTTAATTAAGTTAATCCCTATCACGTGATTCTTGCTACGTCCAAGAGGATTACCTTTGTTAGTGATTCAGTCCGATAAAGTGTTCATGAAACACATATAATACAATCTAACGTAGATATTAAAAAAAAGATGTAGATCCTGTAAAGAATCGCCTCTGTTAGTGAGATTCAGTTCGATAAAGTATTCGTGAAACACATTGTAACAAAAATTAAATATACATTAATTGAATTCCGTTAACGAGAAGTTATTTCCGTAACGCGATATAATATATGTATAGTTTGTGTAAGAGTGGCCTCGTACTAAACGAGACCGTTGAAAACAATGATGTCGTAACACCTCGCTACGTTAATTTGTTGTCATTCGCTAGTGCATTATAATGTATTTCACGCGGAGGGTAACTCTCAACAAGTAACATATTATTGATATATTACGCAGGTCGCAGTAATATAGGTACGTTCTCATCAGCGATTTGCCGCGAGTTGCACGTCAGATGAGGTTCAGTCAACGACGGAAAATCGAATGAAATCGCAGTCATTAGGTCCATTTCACGCGTGTATCCAATTTCAATTAGGCTAATGATTTCCCGGCATATTTCATTCTCCGCGTCACACGCGCTCCCCGGGCTCGTCGTTTTTAATGGCAATATTTACGCGTACACGACAACGTACATACACTTGACGTTTTGACTTCGATGCAGCTGCAGCACTTCATTAGACTGGATTCAATTTGCCGAAAGTTTTGTCGGATTTTCAATGCGCGCCACGCTTGAATACGCCTGATAGGCGTTCGCTGTGAATTAACGTCGCCGCTGCTTTTTAAGCTGCGCGCTTTTAACGAAAACGAATCGAA